TAACAAATTATCACATGAAGGCAGGACTGAGGCGAGGCCAGCAGCCTCTCTTTCAGAAACCCTTTCTAAGCAATTAGGAGTGTGTTACATCCTCCGCCTGGCACCTTATCAAAGAAAACATAGACGGAGCCGAGTTCACAGCGAGCATTAAGAACGGTATCATTAACGGCTACTGAATATTCAGCTCATATCTTTTGTACATGCTGAGTCCTCGAGGCACGCTGATAATTCTTGCTGACCAAACATAAGTTACATTACATTGCATTTAGCTGACGCTTTTATCCAAAGCGACTTACAATAAGTACATTCGACCAGGAAGACACAACCTTGAAGAAAACAGAATCATATAAGTACATCAGGTTTCATAGAGCCAAACATTTCAAGTGCTACTCAACTGGCTTTAGATAAGCCAGTCCTTTATTAGTATATAAGTACTTTGTTAATAGTTCTATCGCTCGAAGTGGAGTCGAAAGAGATGAGTTTTCAGTTTGCGCCGGAAGATGTGCAAGCTATCTGCTGTCCTGATGTCAATGGGGAGCTCATTCCACCATCTTGGAGCCAGGACAGCAAACCCACGTGTTTTTGCCGATGGGAACTTGGGTCCCCCTCGCAGTGAGGGTGCAGCGAGTCGTTTGGCTGATGCAGAGCGTAGTGCACGCGCTGGGGTGTACGGTTTAACCATGTCCTGGATGTAGGAAGGGCCAGATCCATTCGCAGCATGGTAAGCAAGTACCAGTGTCTTGAAGTGGATTCTAGCACCGGAAGCCAGTGAAGGGAGCGGAGGAGCGGAGTGGTGTGGGAAAATTTAGGAAGGTTGAAGACCAGACGAGCCGCTGCATTCTGGATGAGCTGCAGAGGTCGGATGGCACATGCAGGTAGACCAGTGAGAAAGAAAGACGAGTGTTCTCTGGGATGGATGTGCTTCATGATGCAACACGTGACAATTAATCACAAAATGTTGAAATTCAAACACTTTTGTGACTGCAAGACAGATCTAATTGAGGTTGGCAGAAACCCAGAATGAGCTAAATATATTCAGCATCTTAACAGTATGCTCAAAACAGTGTAAGCTTTTTGAAAGTAAAGGTATCTTTCAAGCCGGGTGGAGCGAATATTTGCAGAACCACTAATACTGTGACTGCAGGTCTGCAGCTTCAGATTTCACGGTGAAAATTGAGTATAATTTATTTTCTATTCAGAACAGAGACATAAAGTACCAGTACTTCCTGAAATGCCCCACATCAACAATTCACCAACATTACATTCCTTTCATCGAGTCCACAAAATATCTAATTAGAGAACTTCTGACCTTTGAACTCTCACTCTTCAGAAACACAGACTGAACAAGTTATTCACTCAGAATAGTTTGATACAAGCATTGCCACATATGTTTTTTTCCCCGTCAATGTTTGTGGTAATAATTAAATACGAGTTGAGCCTTGTAATTTGGGATTTACCACAACAGTAATTCAGTCACTCAAGTACAAAAGCCTGCAGCTCATTCACTAATTTAATGGATATGAGTTATGGACTATTCAAACCTGATATCTTCAGCTACAAAAGCTGTTGACACAAGTGACTCCTATGATATTGTAGCAAATCCATGTTAATATCACAATATACAGCCTCTGAATCTGACCTGTAACTAATATAAATGTGATTAAAACATGAAGCATTACAGGGTTGGACCAAGAAGAACATTATTTTATGCTGTGACTATATAACTATTCACCCCCTTGGACATCTTGCTGTTTCATTTGTTACCCCATTGAATCACAGTGGATGCAATTAGGATTTTTGGATACTGGTCAAAACTATATAAAAATATGAAAGAAAAGAGCCTCAAATAGCAAACAACGTGCTCAAACGAGACTGTTGTGGTCCGTCCGTCACGTGCAGCCGAGCCAGACAGGCTGACCGTGAACGCACCTCTGAGCAGCTGGCCCATTTCCCCCACACATTTAACAGTTCAGGACCCTATTATACAATCCTGGCACCAACATGCATAATTTGAGCAGATTAAACATCTTCCTCCTATAATCTCTATATACCCTCACACTATGTTCATATGTCCCCTGATTGCTTGTGATATCTTCTACGTCACAGGATTTTCCGCAAAGCCTCTGGTGTGCCCCCACGGACACGCCTCATCAGGGATTTCATATCAACACTGTCCACAATAAAAACCAGCAAGCATAGAGGTCACAGTAATTCCTCCAAGAGTCGCTTGTTTTTTCGTAGACGTGATTAAACTGAACAATAACTTTGGGCTCCAGCAGAACTTCTGCCTGTGTTGTTCTTATAACCTAGCAACAAAGCGTCCGCTGACTATTTAAAGATTGAAAGTGTTAAAGCTGGTAACTGCAAGACCAAACACACACAGAACAAAACAGCCTCTTCGTTTGGTCATTTTATAAACTCTTTGTCTACATGGCATGATAGAAATGCAAAGGTACTTTTTATACAGAATTGATCAACTCCTATGATACTGAAGTCTGCTTAATATTCTGCAGCATCTTGTTTAAAGGACAAATTATACTGTTCATGTGCTCTCCCCAAATCTGCCCTGAAATGAATGTCTGTATCCATGAAACCATCTGCCTGCTTGCATAAGAGGACAGGTGGCCTGCTTAGGGCTGTGCAACCAAAGGTTTACACATCAACACACCTAACACACACTGGCTGTATATGCACACACAAGTTCAAAAGTGTAATCTAACAGAAGAGGAATTATTGAATCACATCTCTATTGCACGTTTCCATGTGTATTTTGAGCAGTATATTGGTTCATATGCAATTGTTGGATTATTTGGAAACCTGAATGATAAATCAAATGTTTTTCATGGATAGACATCAAGACCAAATAAACATATTTTTGCTGCAGCTATTGAATAATGCATTGAGTTTGTCTGTACGTTTTATCCAAAAAGTTTATGATTGGTTTGCCAAAGAACATTTGAAATCCAGTCAAATCCTGGAAAGATGGATCAGATGCTTGTGAGTAATGTTTGTATTCAAGCTCAAATGGAGCTGCATTTTCTAGTTTTTACTAACTGAGGGATATTTTGTTATTTAACTCATTTATAATCTTACTGTAGGTTTATCTTTGAAATCAGACACTGTCAAACTCTTTGTGTTTTGTCTATACCCAAAACATTCTTTACCTGCAGCGGATTGCATTCACCTCCCCTACAAACCCCTAATCTCGGCTTCCAGTTGATTTAGAGTCAATTTTCAGATTTGACTGATTTCCTAAAAAGCAATCAACATCTTGGCTCCAGCAACGTTAATAAAGGTTTTCACCTCTTTTGTACGGGAACACAAAGACACACATTTGAGCTCCCAGCCTTTAAATGCTCTCACAGGGTGATGCTGATTGTATTTGAGGAGGTGCAATATAATTTCTGAGATTTGCTTTAGTAGGACTTTGTGAGCCAACATTCACTCGCTTTGACATCAATTTAATGGTGCACTTAGCAGTCACTGAAAAATTGAGTGGGCTTTCAGGCCTGTAGTCAGATGATTTTAAAATAAATCTGATATCATGTTGTGCTTTGTGTTTCCTGTTGGCTGGACTGGAGCCAGGAAGAGGTTCACTGTCAAATATAACAGTATAAGCTGTACAGGAGGAAATTACTGTATGGGAGACAAATCACATAATTAAGCAAATCTAAAAAATGATTACAAATACAAGTTGTCAGTATGGGTTCAGGCCATATTGATCATGTGGGTCAACCTTTTTGTAAATAACGTACTTTGCACTCTTTTTTTGGATCAACTCCATGAGTTTGTTTTCACACTCAAAACCAACAAACAAGCATGAGCTGCACCAGATAATGTAACCCCCTCCTCAGCAGGGCGTCCCTCTCTCATGACTTTTCTACATTCAGCTCAGCTTCCTCTCATCTGGAGCCAGGGGAGAGACCCGCTCATCCTCCTCAGCCAGGTTCCTCAACAAAATAGGTCATCACTCCCTGTGTCAGCATGAAAACAAGTTTCTCCACCATTTTTCCAAATTCAGACAGCTGTCCCATTAATAATTAACACCAAGTATTAAAAAAACACTATCATGTTCTCTAAAGAGCCCTACTTTGGGCTCTAAAATCAATCCGCGGTGTAATGAACATCGAATGGAAGACACAGGTCGATGACATGATATTTATTAATAGATTGAAGAAATCTAATGCTTGGGGACCATTTATCTTTCTTTTACTCAGTTTGATACATATTCTGGTTGTCCTTTGTTCAAAATGCTGATATGCCAAATGCACTGGAGTCTGCCTTCTTTTTTTAAACTTGCTTATAGAGGAAATGTTGACAGGTACTTTTGGCAGCCTCAAATCATTTTTTCATTACTGCCAAAGCTTGAGCATTTATTCTTGGCAAGCTACTTCACCTTATGCACAAACTATTCTGCACATGCTGAAGAGTTTTCTATGGAACAGTTTATATCTTTCTTCGAAGCTCATGCACGATATAATGCAATCACTGAGTATACCAGCCCACTTGCTGGGGATGTTGAAGCAGACTCATGAGCTGAGGCGCATCACGACTTTCAGTGCTGTTCAAATCACTGCAAGTTGATACTAAAAACAAGCTTTCCAAGAGAGGTTTGTTTGGGAAAAAAGGTCATACCTTTGTGCAGCATTAAAACATCCACTGTATTATAACCATCATGATTTCGACAATAACTCAAATTTCTCATAAATGTTTTGAAGGTTTTAATTATTAATATACCATTTTAATTAGTTGTAGCCTTTGTGCTTAACATAAAACGACCCAAGTCAGTGTAACAAAAGCTATAAGGTACAATATCAGCGCGTAAAAGCTTCATAAACATGCTCTAACTGTGCGTCACAATGACAGCAAGTAGAGACACCGATACCTCGGAGTGCCATTTAACACCACAAACTATTTAACTACAGAGAAAAGTCACCACACATCACACCTAGTGCAACACATAATCCCTACCGGACGAAAAATCATCAATCCGGACTAACCTTTCTGCTGCTTGAAGGACTGGATGGAGCCCGAGTGGTGCACCATTGCGGCGATCAGTGGCTTTCCAGCGTTAATTGAATCGCGTATTACGAAAAGCAGAACTGCAGGATACATGGGAAACTATGATGAGGCTGTGTGGGTGTTTCTCGCAGCTCCCATCCTGCCAAACCATCTCACAGCGATGCGCAAACCCCGGCAACACCTGTGTGTCTCTAAAGCTCCACATGTGCCCCCCCCCGCGCGCCACGGCAGTTGTCATGGTGACGGGCGGGAGAGGAGGTCCTGAGATGGACGCGCCCCCCCCCCCCCCCCCCCCCCCCCCCCCCCCCCCCCCCCCCGGTCCTGATTTACTGACTCCTAATAAACTGCAGGAAATTGCAGGGGCAGCAGGTCTGAAATGGACCGACAAGGACATGCATTGATCGGTCATCAATCATCATCCCTTTTTAATCCACACGTGCTGTAAACTGCTGTACTCTAAGGCATGACATGGTGTAATGTGTGCTGCCATGTTGGAAAAACTGCGTCAAGCTAATAAACCATGTGCAGTCAGTGCTGGTGTAAACAATTGCAAGATTATGTAATAGCATCTTCACATAGACACTATACAAGACCTTTTATATTTTTTCATCGGGAAGTGTTCTGCTTTAAATCAATAACTAAAACTTCATAATTTATGTTGAAAGTCATTCTAAAACAGACATGCATTATTTAAACAAATAAAGGATCTCATATCTCACAAGGGGATCAGATGGGACATCATGTCAATATAAAATACAGATAATAGTGTTGTTGACTGTCAAGAACCAATAAACGAAAAGCAACAATAAAGAAATAATGTGGAACCTTTACATTTGTTTCAAGACTATCATTTGCTTTGGCATGCATTAGAGACTGTGAGGCTGTGAGAAAAACTCAAAACAATCAATACTTACTAGGCTCAGCTCAGCTGTACTGACACACTGCTGCTGTATGCAGGGGGATCCCTCTCAGGAACTAATGTTACACCAGTCATCAAATCCATCAGGGTGTTACAGATGGCTGCAGTATTTGATAATCTAATGTTAAAGGACAATACTCAGCTAAAATGACGAGGACATTGTATTTAGTTATTGAAACTGTTTGCACGTTATTATGGGAATGTAAACAATACACACATGTTGTTTTCATACATTTAATTTCCTTCCTCTTTTATTGGTCATATTTTGTATTTGTCATTTTCAGTTCATGGTTTCTTTATATGTTTTAATGATTTTACTTTTAGTGCTCTGATGTGCATCTGTTATCACCTCCATTTTGCTGTTGTTTTTGACTGCTTCTAACATGTATATGTCACATAGAAGAAAATGGATCAGGGAGCATATAATAGTTCATCACACAGCACATTTATGTGGTATCAAAACCTACACCTTATAGTTAAAATATATATAAGTTAAAACAATCCGTATTGCCCCGTTATCGCTTTGCCTTAGGTCTTCAGTTGCACAGTATTAACCGAACGGAGATCTTATCATGGATTATCTGCAAGGTCACTGGTCTTATCTCAATGTCAACCACACAGAGTTACAGACCAGCAGACCACCAATCAATTCCTTAAGCTCATGAGAGGTAGAGCCCTGAGTCGTTCGTGTTGTTGCTACCAGACACTCACTGACTGCTGTGATCTGGTCCGTCTGCAAAGTGTCACAGTAACACGAGTTGCAGTTCGGTCTGTGACCTTACTTTTGTGTATCAGTCTGTGTCTGTGCTGGCATTCTGGGGAGTAGTCTGGTATCTGTCATAGATGAAAAATACCATCTGCTTTCTTGCCGCTCAGCACGCCTCTCCTCCTCCCTCTGTTCTGATGTTAATTAAGGACTGGTGGCAGGACTGCGTGTGCCAACATGTCATTGAACCACCAGGTCAATGCATCCTTCCATCGGCTGATAAATAAGAAAGTAGCTCTTATACAGTCGGCCCCGTTTATCTTTTCCATTCCTGCCTAGTTTAGAGATTTAGGTCAGATGATGGCTCTGTAAGGGAGCAAGGTTTTAGGATGAATGAAGCACTGCCACCTTGTGGTAAAAATAAATAACTAGCTGTCAGAGTCTTTTTAGGTTTTTATATATATTATCATAGGAATTATAGGAATAATAATGTATACATGATGCATGTGCTTTCATAGAAAAGTTATTTTCTAGAATAAGAGATTTCTCTTTCTCTTGTCACATTGTTTTAAATTGTTTTAATTTGCATTTATCATAAGTCCAATTTAAATAAGACCATAAATTCCATCCCTGCTTAGTTTGGAGATGTAGGTCAAAGGATGGTTCTGCAGAGAGAGCAATGCACTTGGCTCCAACTGAGAACCCAAAAGAGTTTTTGCATTATTTACCTCAGCCTATTCATTTAAATATAAAACTCATGGAATACTTTTGACAAAATGTAGGTCTTGCAGCCTCCAAACTAAATGGTTAGTCTTAGTCAAAAATGCCAAAATTAGTAATCAACTTAGAGGGGTCAGCCTTATTGGTTTGTCCAACAGAAAGTCTGATGCAAAAGTTATTTAATTTTCAGTGACAAGACAGACAAGCAGTAGATCATCACCTGTAAGACATCAAAGACACTTTTTTGTGTATTTGCTTGATAAATTACTTTCACGATAAATCAATGATCAAAACTTTTGCCAATTTAATCTGACCAATTGATGCATTAATGGCAGAGTCAGCATGGTCTAAGTGCAATAGGACTCATCTTAAATCTTAGTATCATCCCCACACTTAATATTCACATTAGCTGTGCAGCAATATGTCAAACAAGTAATGGCGGATCTTAAATGGATGTAATGCATTTAAAACCCTTTATTCACAAGTGCTCTGGCAAACTCACCGGAGAGTTGGTCGCTGTCCGTCTCCGTGTCTCCGGAGAGGAAGCTGTTGGCCAGTGAGGAGCTCAAGGACGCTGAGTGGCTGATGCTGGGATTGATATGAGCGTGCCTCTCCAGCAGAGGCACAAACATATAGTTGTCCTGGTGACATGATCCTGCAAACACACACAAAGTGAGAGGGTATAATATTATAATGTTATTAAAGTATCTTTACTGTTGCTTTTTCCTGGAGAGCATCCTGCCACTCAACCTATGCACACTGTTTTTCAAATTATCAATGGGAATACATAACAGCTTGTACATTATGTTCAGATCAGTAAAAATGATAGGTGATCACAGCACACTCATTACTCAGCTCTCTCGTGCTCCTGCACTCATACATTTTTAACGTGTATTTAATATTCCTTTTTACCCTCTGATACTTGACACTAATGGGGAACAAATTGGCCTCTGTCTTTTCAAAACCAACGGAGAGGCATCTGATCAGGTTGGATGTCCCTTTAAAAAGAAGTTAAATGTAAAATAAACACTAAACCAACATGATCTTACTAATTCAAGCTGGTGTGCAATACATATGAATGATTTCAGAAATAAACAAATTGTTTTTTAAGGTTTTTTTTAATGTGTATTTGTTTTAGCAAATGTAAAAAAAGTCTTAATATGATTTAAAGTCTATTTTATACACTTTCAACCAACATAGTGTTATATGCTAAATGCTCCTCTAACAAAGTGTATGCTTGGATTGTCCTGAAAATATCAGCACAATAGGAAGATAAATGGCCAAATGAATGTAATAAATGGGTATTTACCATTACCCCCGAACAACCACTACCCATTTTGTTGCAGTAATTGCTTTATTACACAATGTAGAGGCTACCATTGTGAATCCAAAACAGGTCACTGCTAGGTTAACCAAGTTAGCATACAATAATGCATTTTCATTTGTTTACAATGGCAGAAAAACATCTACAGTCAGAGATTTGTATTCAGTGTGTGCTGATGTGTGCTCCCTCCCTCATGTGTGCATTCAGCTTCATTAAAACCAACAGGTAGAGCCGGGGGGGCTGCACTCTGAGTCCAAACAACATGACTCACCTCCATCCAGATTAACATTACATCTCAGAAGTTATTCAGCACAGGTCCAACAGCGACATCTCCCCTCAGCATCCCCTCTCAAAGGAGCCCACAACAAAACAACAAATGTCTGCCAGACATGCTGGTGTGAACAGTACAATATTAAAATGCTAATGTTTATGGTTAACATTGTGACAGCAACAGCAATTACAACCAGAGGGCTGTGAAACCAAAGCCTGCAAGAATGGGGGTGTTGTAATTCATTTAAAAAAATGCAGCAGTAATGTGTTTGTGTGAATCCAAAGTATTTAACCAGGTCATTATGCGTTTTCTCAGCTCAAAACACCATTAACAGAACATCATTGCCAAATCAATAATATTGCCAGACAAACCTCTCCTACCAGAGCTTCAGACAACTGGTCAGACAGAATAACTTTCCCTGAAAAGTGCTTGGATTGCATAACAGCTGTGTGGTCTAAGTGCAATAATATACTGTCCTGCTCATGGCTGCAGATCAATTGATGAGCAGGTACTTCCTGGCACATTGATTATTTATTCAACACATGTATCCATGTACCAGCATACACCATGACCACCACAGCCACTGTCTAATACTAGGACAAAATCACTGATCTAAAATAATACCACATAGACAGCTTTTTTGATAACCTTAGGGGATATAATAATATAATAACAGTATTTGTGCATAATTACTTTACAATATGGAAATATCAACAGCTGATGGAGCAAATTGATTTACTTCGAGTGCAACCAGGTGGATTTCCTCACCAGCAACTTGATAATTAAATAAAAGAGGCATCAGTGTTTATTACATATAAGACAAGGGGAGTACGGAAGGCCTTTATACTGCAGTGTTTCCATTACATGATGGCTGCTTCAATTTAGTCTGCAAGCTGTGCATCACTTAAACAGCTTACATTAGTCGGCAGTGATTACTTAAGGCCACATAAATGTCTCATAGCACTCTTGTCTCCTTTTCTAATGCAAGGTGTGCAGATACAATGTTGGGTTCTTCATATCTTCCAAACTGCAATAAGAAGCAAACAGTTGAGGCTTCAAGCATAATTCTAAACAATGACTTTAAATGTCAAACAAAAAGGCAGAATGTGATGCACCTGTCATGTCGCCCAAAACCACAGAGAGCTTTCATTGACAAAAAAAAGGGACATTTTAAGTAGCTACTTGACTGTTGAGAGTGTATCTTCTGATGCTTCTAGAAAAAAAAATGGAATATAGTTTTCCAAGTGTCTATTAATTATTTTGGGTTATGTTTTCC